AACGCAGGACAAGTAAACCCACAATTCACCATAACACATCCAAACACAGGACTAGTGAACCAACGGACAAGTTAACACGCAGAAAAGTGAATACTGGTATATAGAACATAGACAGCTGAACCCAACAACTGGGTTTGAAAAGGCCTTGCTGAGATAATCGTCATTCTTGACTTGTTCTTGTAAATTTATGTTCACTGCTAATTCGCAATGATTGGTTCCGAAAGATTTCAGCTACTTTTATAAATATGTAAATGTTTTTAATGTGCTGAAAATTATTTTACAAAATTGTGTAAATAACTATTTTTATTATATTTCTTGGGCAGATTTTTGTTTCCTAAACTGAGTCTATTGATTTCTTATTAAAAAAAAAACCATTAACATGTTCTACAATAGTGTTTAACATTTGTAAAAATATCTAGAAAAGTCTTATCTTTTATGATAATTTCACATTGATATGCTTTAAATTTCATTTTATTTGACTCCTATATATCTAATATTAATATTGCTTGATTAAATTTTTTTTCTCTTTTTAAAGTGGTCCACTTAGGATTTTCCATTTATCTCTGACATCAAATCTATTATGAGGAAAAGTATTATTACCACGTGCTTCAAAATTTGCAAGGTTTTTTTCTATTATATTCTCTACATAATGATTGATGTTTTTTTTTATTGCATGTCTCATAAACAAAATTTCCGAAGTTTTTATGATCCTATTATTTTTATTAGGCTCGAGGCTAGTGGGTTGTTGGGAAAATGCATTAATTTATATTCTATCAATTATATTTATGTACTTACATTGTTTTTTTTTAAATTAAGAAGTGAAATGTGTTCATGATGTATGCATCCAATGTTGTTCAAGTAACCTTTAACTTTAATTTTTTTAATAAGCATTTGTCAGTGTCTTTTTCAGCTTTTATCGATATAGCATTTTCATTTTTTTTCTGACGTCAATTGATGAATCAGGAGGAATAGTTTTGGAACTACATACTGGTAATTGAAACTTTGCATGCTTATTTATATTGACATTCTCTATTTAATGATGGATGGTTTTTAAACAAATATCCCAAATGAAAATTTTTCAGAATTTTTTTATTTATATATTTTTTTAAATTAGGTTCGTGTGTTAATTTTTTTTTCTATCTTTTCTGCCTTAGTTTTCTAATTGTTTTTTAATTCATGAATGGTACATGTACATGGTTTATGCATCCTATATCGTTCATGCAGACCTCTAATTTAAAAGACACAATTTTATACTTTTTTTCATTTTTCTCAATTTTGCATTTTCCAGATTTTTTAGGAACGCCAAATGAATTGGGAGGAAAAGTATTCTAGCTACAGCCTTCAAACATTGCATGCTTCTTTTCATTGCTTTTCTTTACAAGATTCAAGAGGCTTTTTTTTATATATACCGGGTATATCCAACTAGAAAAGTTTTATAACATTTTTACATTCTTGCTACTCCTAAAGAGTTCTCGAATATTTATGTGACCCCCAGATACATGCCATTTGTAACATTTCCGATAACTGCTGTGTAATAAGCTTCTTTAAACTTTATGTCAATGTTATTCTTAATGTGTATGCCAAGTTTCATTTACAATACAGTACAATAAGTTACAATATAATGCAATACAAATTTGTATTTATTCATTTTGCGTAAAAGTCAAAATTGGTATAAAATGTTTAATTTTTTGCAATAAAAGTCACAAAAAATTTTAAAAAAATAAACTTGAGTGGATTTTTGTCTTTCTGTTTGTGCATGGTTTGTATGTACTATATTTTTTTCAATGGCTCTATTTATTTAGGGTTATCAGTGTTTTATTTTCAATGTGGCATGACTTAGTTGCCTTGAAAGCAAACTCCCTTCACAGATCACATTTATTTGCTCCCACTCAAAAATTAAATCTGTACTTAAATGAAGAAATGATACAAACAATATTTAACTGTACAGTTACCAACAAAGAATGTGAGAAAGTAAAAGGAGACAAATGGCAAAGGAATGATGTGACCTAATTGAATGAGTTTATTGGCTGCCTTACTGGCCCCTAATTTATTTTATGGATTACTTGAGTACACAACTCAAATAACTAACAACCAAACAAAAATGTTCTCAAGTCAAAAAGGTTTTGTTTTTCTATTAAATTTTCAATTATGTACCAGTGTGTTAGACCCAGTAGACAGCTATGGTAAAAAAAAAAAAGACGAGTCCTCCAAAAATAAGTCTCTTTCTCATGCTTTATGCAATGGCATCTTTTAACTTTAAGATGTTCATTGCAACTACCTTGTGAATTAGGTCAAGTCAAATAGAAAAGTTGTTGAAAAGAGATTCGAGATATCAGGAAAAACAGTCAGTGTCTGCATGTATGACTCCCAGTGCCAAGGAAAAAGTTTAAAATTGGTGGTTTTGTTCTGACTAAGTCAAGCTCTCTAGCGGAATAGTTGAAATTAATTCATTATGAATGAAATTTTCATTATTTAGAATACCTAATTAATTTATAAAGTACTGTGTGATTAAATCTTTTAACTTAAACAATACACATAAATAATCTTAAATAAAGGATTTAATTTTAATAATTAAATTTAAATTATTACTTTTCTAAAATTCAAATGAAAACAATAAATGTATCTAAATCATCTTCATTACTAGATTTAAAAAAAAAAAATGATCTACGAAAATGGCTTAAACTAAAAAAGAAAATAAGAAAGAAAAAAAATCTACCGGTCCTAAGAAAAATTAATAAAGCAAAAATAAAAAAATAAAAAGAATAAAACTATGAATCTATGAAATAACGAGGAGAAAAAACAATTTTAAAAAAAATAATTCTTATACTATTATCAGTATTATTGTTATCACACCCGGCTCCGAAGTCATTTAATCTGAACGGAGCCACTTGGGGTGCGAATAGTTATCGACAACTATAGGTACTCGGGTACCTATAGATGCAGCCTAAAAATAAAATTAAAGCTTAGCCAAAGTATCACGAATTACCTCCCCTCAAATCTGCACATCTGAAATAGTACAATAGTACCGCAGTCACGGTTACCATGCAACTTCCCAAATAGTAAACTATAGTTTCAGAACAGCTGGCTACGTGAAAATTTCAAAGCTGTACAAAACCGTACTGTAATACTAAATAAATAAATAAACATTCTCTTTAATTAGAGAGGGGTTGGGGGCATGTTTTGGATGTCTCCATTTAACAAAATTAATACGTGAAAAGAAAATATGCTCTTTGGAAAAAATATGGGTTGGCAGGGATTGAACCTAAATCCCAAAATTTTGATGTGACACAATGTTTGACCACGCCAGCATCACACAAGCATCACACCAGCATCACACCAGCATGACACCAAGCTTGGGAAACTTTTTTTTTTTTTTTAAATTTAAACTATTTAATAGTTATATTCATACTAAAATTCATTTTTTGAACATTTTCTGTATTTGATAGTTTGATTTGCTTCACTCTCAACATCGTTATTGAACAGTCAAATATGTTATAACAAATTTTTCAAATGTATTTTTGAATTACTAATATTCATAGTAAGTTCTTGATTTACATACATGCAGACTAAGGCATCTAGTCGAAACGTCGGTTTAATTGTCCCAAATGTTCGTTTAAAGCCATAGCAAACTTTTTTTTCCACTATGTAAAGAGAAAATATTCTAGACTTTACAATAATGAAAGACAAAGTTTCAAAATTTATTCGAAATGACGAGAGAGAGAAAAAAGATGGCTAAAGAATGTAAAAAAAAAAAATAAATTTAATGGTTTAATTTTTAACACTTTATACAATTTTAAGATAGGGTTCGTTTAATAATAACTATCACAACAAATTGTTTTGCCAAAAACCTTTAAGTATTATAAAAATGAGGATATGTTCGCAAGAAAAGCAATAATAAAAAACCTTCCTTCAACTTACATTTGTGTCGTCAACGCTAACTTTTTGGACGCAGGAGTGGAGTGCTGGTGAAATATATAGCGTAATGGAGGATTGGGGTGATGGTGAAATATGTAGCGTAACGGGGGATTGGAGTGCTGGTGAAATATGTAGCGTAACGTAGGAGTGGTGTGCTGGTGAAATATGTAGCGTAATGGTTGTGTGGGGTGATGTTGACAGATGTAACGTAACGGAGGAGTGGGATGCGGATGACATGTGTAGCGTAACGGAGGTGTGGGGTGCTGGTGAAATATGTAGCGTAATGGTTGAGTGGGGTGATGTTGACATATGTAGCGTGACGGAGGAGTAGGATGCTGGTGACATATGCAGCGTAACGGATGTGTGGGGTGTGGTTGACATGTGTAGAGTAACCGAGACGTGGGGTGATGGTGAACTATGTAGCGGTAGCGTAACGCGACTTGCGACCTTCAAATAATTAAATTTTACGACAAATGAAAAAAGTCAGATTCCAAAGCAGGCTATATTTGAACGCTTGAAGGAAACAGTTTCTTTTACAACTTTTAACAGCAGATGATGCACTAAAGCAGCTAGCTGCCTTGAAATATTCTTTCAGACCTTGCCGACACCATGTCTGGTGTTAAAGTTAAAGACTTTATTAAAGTGACATACTAAAAAAAAAAAAAAAAAAACATGCACGGGTGGGGGGAATCATGCAAACAAACAGAAATAAAAGCTTCCTTTCAACAAAAAATAAAATGATGGAGATGAGATGTTTCAGAAGTATTCTTGGCATCTGCTATAGAGAGCCAGAATGATCAATTCATTGATCGTGGGCCTAAAGTTAAAGACTTTATTAAAGTGACATACTAAAAAAAAAAAAAAAAAAACATGCACGGGTGGGGGGAATCATGCAAACAAACAGAAATAAAAGCTTCCTTTCAACAACAAAAGAATATTCAATGGTTAAATAAAAATAATTACAAAAATATTAACTGCTTTTATATTATAAATAAATAATAAAGACTCTAAGCATCCACTCGGCACTTAAAAACAACTACCATACCAGCATTGATTGTTATTTTGAATTTCATGATCACATGACTAATGAGAACATGTGATAATCATGTGACATTTAAAAATGGCTTCTTACCTTCATGCAGCTGCTTTTGCGTTTTGTCTAATTTCAAGCATTTCATATACTCATGGATATTGCAATCTGCCTTCTAAATTTTGGTGTAGCAGTGCAGAAATTGCATTGAAATGTGGGGTAATGTGTATTTTCAAAATTGATTTATTTTAGACGGACCCGGTCGTTAGTCTTCAACCTTGCGTGCGTGCAGCTTAGGCTAATTTTAATTTTAATATCTCCCCCCCCCCCTCCCCGTACGATTCAGATAATTGATTAAAGTTTTGTAGTTAGGCCAGGCACAGTTTTATTAGGCATAATTAGGGCTTACAGTTTTATTTTTTTTAAAAATAGACTTAATAGGGATTTATATTTGACTGCGGATAATTTAGTCAAAATTGGCCTGGGCACGCAGCGCCGCTATTCGCACACGGGTTCCATTAGACTTAGACCAATGCTATTCGGACGTTATTTGTAGTACCGTATTTTCCGGCGTATAAGACGACCCCCTAATTTTCCAGAAAAAATATTGGTTTAGGGATATACTCGACGTATAAGACTATTGTACCTGGCGTGTAAGACGACCCCCAAGTTTTGGCACTATAATTTGGGTCTATAAAGTCGACTTATAAGCTGGAAAATACGGTAGTTTATTTTAGTGAAACTGAAGAAGTAAGTTTACAAACATATCGTCCATTCAATTATCTTTCATTTAATACCTCATTTTGTGTTATAAACCCATCAATAATTTTTTAAATAGTTTTTTAAATTCAAACCTCTCACTTCTGGTACCCGGGTGCAATCGTCACAGCTGGAAAACAAAAAGGTTTTTTTAGCCACACACGTGGCCATCAAACCCCTTCATAACTTGTCATAAGCTAATTGTATTTCCTTTAAATTAAAAAAAATACAAAGGTGTAATAAATCTCTACTGCAACTTACTAACAAGACAAGAGACTTATTTAATATTAGTTATAGATCACCAAACATTGGTGACGGCAATGCCTGAACTTCCCATCTACTAAAGTTACTCGACAAAACATTAACTCAAATAATGCACATTTAAGAATCCCAATTTTCGCTACACCCATTTCCCCCATGATACATTACTGCATACTTTTTATTTCACAGCGATTAACTATATTAATATTCTAATGCCCCAACCACTTTTAAACCGAATATCTATTACACCATACTTAAATTGAGACGAGACTTAGCGTTTTTTTTTTTTTAAATATCATTTAGCGTAGTTGTCGGGAATTTTATTTTGCGCTCTACTGAACTCACTATTGAACCATACTTTCTTTCAAACGTAGAGAATTATATGTAATATAATTCATTTTATTAATTATTTGACAAACCAATGATTTATGTAGCAAAGTCTCTTTATTAAATAAAGAACTCCATTACTAACTACGCCATTATTGCTGCTCCTGCTAAAACATAAGAACATTAACAACGCCATTTCTTATACCCAAATATACATTAAAAAATAAAAAGCAATAGCAAAAGCTACAAAAATAATCTCAGCACCAAAAATGCAGAATAGGAAGCAGTCAGCTTGTTAGGAAGCAGCGGTAAATGGATGCAGTCACACCAGAAGCACAATATATATATAAGAGATAATTGCAGTGACTGAAAGAGCATAGTTAGTAATATTGTAGTAATTGTGAGACTACTATTATTTTTCCTTATTTATCTTATTTTAATGTTTTTAATTTTTACAAATGCTTTTATGAAAATCTTTCTGTTCTTCCAATTGTTTGAAAATTTCATTATGTCTCAATACTCATATGGCTATGGTACACAAAGTTGAAAAATCAGATTGTAATTCAGTCCTAAGATCTTCATCTATTAGTTGGGAAGTGTGCAACTGAAGAAAAAGTTGACATACCGGTAAATAGCAACCTAGATTCAAGAACATAGAGAAATATTTATGGTAAATCAAAGATTTGAAGAGAAAAATTGAAACCTTATCTATAGTTAAATCCCTTCTAAAGCATTTTTTTCCTTCTTGTTTAGGTATATGAACAATGCAAAAGAAATGAGTGGTCTTTACAGAGGGATCCAGAGCTTGTCAACATAACTCTCTACTATGAAAGTCTTTGTCCTGATTGCAAGAATTTCATCACAAAGATGTTATATCCATCATGGCAGAAAGTTGGAAGCATTATGAACCTGAAACTAGTGCCTTATGGAAATGCCCAAGTATGGACATACCTTAATATCTAGATGTTTAATTTTTTGATAATTTCAAATATTGATATTTCCAAATGATTTCTTTTTTTACTGTTCTTAAGCCTTAAAAATTAAATTGTTTCAATGTCAAAACTTTTATATTGGGAAATTTTCAGATGTTAAAAAAAATGTTGAATTTGCTTGTTTGTTTTTTTCTCTACTAAACTGCAAAAGATTATAAAAAGTGATGGACTGCGATAAAGCTTTAAAATATATTAATAAGACACGAACAAATTGTGTCAATAGAACAATATGAGATAGCTTTAATAATAATTGTACATTATACAGAATTAAACGTTTCGGCACATGCCTTCATCAGTACAAACAAACACAACACATTTAAATAAGTATAAATTAAATTTACATAATGTCAATATATATATCCTACCTAAAACAGAAAAAATATAGGAGAGGGCGCTTAAACCTGACAAAAACAAAGTAAAGAGATGTAGAAAGGAAGTGATTCAAACATAATTGGAAAAACCAAACAGGAAAAAGACATGGCAGCTAAGTAAAACTATGGATTTGGTTCAATCCATATGGAGACAACGTACCAAATCTAGTTATTAATTTGTTCTCCATATAGATTCTATCTGCAGTGTTACTAGTATAGAGTATACCAGTAACTACAATATCTGAGATACCATTATGGTTAGGGCTATTGAAATGTTTGGAGACCGGACAGAGAGCGTGTTTATTTATGTTATAGAGGTGCTCTCTGAAACGGTCCCCAAGGCGACGACCTGTCTCTCCTATGTATAGTTTACCGCACTTTTTGCAAATGATGGTGTAAATCACGTTGCGACTTGTGCAGGTAAAGCCATCTTTTATTCTGAATACTCCCAGAGGGAAAGTGATCGTATCAGTTTCGATCACATAGGGACATGAGTTGCAACGGCTACGGTTGCAACATTTTGTGCCTTTATGTGCTTTAATAGCAGGGAGGTGGCTTCTAACTAGCATGTCCCTAAGGCTCTTGTCCCGCCGGAAAGCGAAAAGAGGAGGTTTTCTAAAAATCTCATTTGTGACAGGGTCCGCCATAAGAATGGAGCGGTTTTTAAGAACCAGAGAGCGAGCTTTTAGGTTGTGGGGATGAAAAGTTAAGATAAATTTAGACCTATCGCTAGTGTCAGAATGAGTAGCTTTAAAAGAAGCCTGTCTAGTCATACCTTTAACTCGAGTGACAGCTGCTTTTAAAATTTCTTCGGGGTATAATCTGCGTCGGAAAAAATCCAACATTTCAGACATTCTTTCTCCAAAATCTTTTTCATTACTACATAGTCTTCTGAGTCTCAGCAACTGAGAAAATGGGATGGAGTTTTTACACCATTGAGGGTGGGATGATGAATATACTTATGAAGCTTTATCTAATACTAATTTCATTAGATATCTCACTGGTAAATAATGTGTCGTATGTATTTTATTTCCCAAAAAGGAAAAACAAGTGGGAGACCACTGGGAGTTTAATTGCCAACATGGAAAAGAAGAGTGTGTGGGGAACATCATTGAGGTAAGTATATTTGGAGATGACTTTTTATTAATTTTATTTTGAAGAAATAGCAGAAAGTCTAACAATTCTTTATCTCATATTTACTTACATAAATTCCTTTGCTCACAGCATCTGTTTTCTTATATTCTTTCATTTTTTCCACAGACATGTGCTATTGTCATTGTACAGAAAATTTCTGTATATTTCCCTTTCATCAATTGCATGGAAAGCTCGGCAGCCAGACCAGAAGATTCAGCTAAAGTGGTATGTACTTTAATAGGAGTATTTTTTTAAAAACATGTATTGAACCTCATTTTTGCAAGCTATGAGTTCCTTTGAAAAATTTTAATATGAAAACACTGTTCAAATGACTTTATAATTTACCATAATCGTAACCTCACAAAGCAAGGAAAGAAATATTTTTAAAAATATTTTAATTGAAAATGCAAATATCATTTTTGAGTATAAATTTTATAATTAACTGAATTCCCCATTTATTTTCAATTCAATGAATTCTTTTTGAAAATAATATTTTTTTTTTTTCAGTGTGCTAAAAGATTCCCAGTTCCTCTAGATCAAATCCTGAAGTGCAGCAATTCTAGTATGGGTAACAGCCTGGAACATCAGATGGCAGTTCAAACAGATGCCCTTGTTCCCAGTCATCAATATGTACCTTGGGTTACTTTGAATGGGGTACAAACAATGTTTTTGTTTTATTTTTGTGCATCACTCTTGACAATTAGAATTATTTTATTGTTTTGTTTACATATTTGATATGAAAATCTTTTAAGAATTTTAAAGTAACTTCTTCGACATTTATGAATATTTCTTTGGGGGGGTTGGGGGGGGGGGGATTAACATAAGTTAAAAATAAGGGGGTTGGGGGGGGGGAATAACATAAGTTACAAACAACCATACTGTTAAAGAACTCGCTTAATATATGATTATCTTATGTAATTTTATTCCATCAATTTTTTATATTTTACTCTCCCCACCCTCCTCCTCACTAGTGTGCACCCAGATACACCATTCTCTGCATGTCATAGTAATAATAGCAACAACATGCTTGTTTAATGTGTGTATATTTCAGCTTACATATCAGTTCTTGCTACGCTTTAAGAATGCATCTAATTATTTTTAATTGATTTGTTTCATAGTTTGCTTGTTTTCCCCCAGGTTCACACTGAGGAAATTGAAAAAGAAGCTGAAGCTGATTTGGTCAAGTTGGTTTGTGATACATACAAGGTAACTGTATTCATTTAATCACTTGAACTCCGTCACCTGCCCCAAGGTGCCGTGGTAACATTGTACTCCTCTCAACTGAGAGGTCAGGGTCCAGATTTGCTTTGGGTCAACAGCAAGATGAAATGGACTCATCATACCAGTCAGGTAGTTAATCTTGGGAAGAAAGGAAACAAACTCATTGTGCTGAAGTCAAAAGACTCCTTCCAAATTGGTGAGGGATTAAAAAAAATAATGGCAGTCCACTCCAAATGTATTAGACTTACCAGTTTACTTTTAACTGCTTCACGAAACAGGGAACACTATTATAAAGTTCAACTCTTTACAGTGGCTCATTTACTTAATCATGCTGCACTAAACTTGGAATGCTATCAAAAAAATGTTGAACTCTGTAACGTTGCTTATTTACTTAATCGTGATAAGATCACGGTATCAAGATATATTTAATTTATTCTAATGATAACAGTGTTAACCATTGGAGTATTGCATTTTTTTTTTAATATGGAAATAATGCATGCAGAAAATTTCCCTTATCTCTCCTAACACTTGGTCACAAGTGGAGATTCGATCACAAGTGGAGATTTTTTTATCACAAGCAGAGATTTGATAACTAATTGTCAGTTGTAGGAGAAGACGAAAATAAAATTGACTTATGTTATTAATTTATTAATGGTGCTTCCCTAATGTCTATTTTTAACTTGTACACACTCAAAGTTATGGCATGGGTTGCATCAGTGTTAAGTGACAGAAAGTATTTGCATCAACGTGTTCAGTTGTTGGTTGTCAAACCTTTTCTTGTTGTTCATTGTCTGCCGTGACGAAACATGTTTAAAGGGTTGAGAAGATTTATCCTTTCCACATTTAAATCGTGGCCAGTCGTGACAGTTAAGATTTATTGTTCTGTTCACGGCGGGTCATGAGGCGGTTGAAGTTCTTAACATTACCAGGTGTTTCATTGTCTATTTCCAGGGCACCAAGCCACCAGCATGTTCACAAGATAACAAGTCCCAAGGGCGCTGCATGGCCTAATAGGGAATGAGATGGTCATGGCGTTGACCACTTCGTATTCACATGAGACGAAGGAGTTTCCATTTGTTTGTCTCAGTTTTCTTTCCTTACATTGATTATTGGATTGTATTCATGTGACTTTTTATCCTCTACACAAAATCAAGCAGATAATAACACAGTGACCCTATACATAGTAACACCGCATGCGTATCTTCTACACAAAATCAAGCAGATAATAACACAGTGACCCTATACATAGTAACACCGCATGCGTATCTTCTACACAAAATCAAGCAGATAATAACACAGTGACCCTATACACACATCCCATGTGGATACTATTTTTATATAATATTTTTCCAATTACAAAAAAATAAACGCACAATTCTTCTGTGTTCAATGTGAAAATTTCATCCATCTCCACCCAAATTATTCCAAGATTGTATTATAATTATATAGCCCTGAAAAAAAGACTAAAATTAAGGGTAGTTTTATTCTTCTTACTTGAAGAAAGAATGGGTTTAGTTTGTATTTAGTATGAACACAGACATTGCAATATACTATGTATTCTTAAATTGGATTTTTTAAAAATCTATTTATTTACTTGCTGGGGGGGGGGGGGTGGGGGGGGTAATCTTAACTCAAAATAGTTTCAACATATTTTCTTACAAAAACTGCTTCAAACTGATGTGAAATGATAATTTAAAAAATTATTTTTTCTAACATTTTGGAACATCTATTTATTTACTTGCTGGGGGGAGGGGGGTGGTGGTGGTAATCTTGACTCAAGATAGTTTCAACATATTTTCTTACAAAAACTGCTTCAAACTGATGTGAAATGATAATTGAAAAAATTATTTTCTCTAACATTTGGGAACCACTACTGTGATTTGAACCACATGTGGGCATTTGTTACAATGTTGTGGGTTGTAACATATAAAGCATCTTCATTACTTTCCCTTCAATTCTTCTACAGTCTACATGATTTGTATTCAGTGTGATATGGATGTAAATGAACCAGTTCTCAACAAAAATTTCATTGGACACTTTTGTTTTTTTTTGTCCATTTTAAAATTTTTAATAAAATAAAGAATATCATACATTTTTTTGTCTCCTTTTAAAAAAAAAAACTTCATAAAAAGCAGTGTATGTTTCTGTGTATATCATATATATGTATTATATTCAACTAGTTATAGCTCGCCCAAAAAATGGTGGCCGCAAGGCGAGAACTTCCCATCTACCAAGTCACTTGACAAAACGTGCATTCATGTAACGCACTTTATAAGAATACCAGTTACTTACTGACACCCCCAACTACCCCCCCCCACACCAGTGACGCCGCCGAACACTTTTTTCATGCCCCTTAACTATATTAATATTCTAAAGCCCCATCCTTTTACACCACAGTTTGATCACATCATCTTTAAATTGACGCTATACAACGTATGAAAATATTAAGCACTTGCAGTATTTTTAAGAATCTCATTTAGCGCAGTTATCAGAAATTATATTTTGACCATTAGGCCTGCATAGAAATCACCATAACACCATACCTTCTTTCATACCTAGAGAATTATACTGTGTCCTACGTGCTTCCCTGGCACAAATAGGACTGGAAAGCCATTTGGGTACTCAGCGTTAGTTATAGCCTTTGCATGTGGAGGACAAACAATAGAGAATCATACGTATTGAATGCTTGTGTTCACAGAATGTCATGTTGTGCTGTGAAATTTGCATTAAGAAGCGTTTAAAATGTTATGCATAACATCCGAATGTGTTTTACAACTGTGCAGTCATGTGTAGAAAATAACAGACCCCCTAATCATTTAAATACAGGATGTTGGTACGGAGGGCAGGGGGTAAAAATATTGTTGAAACTAAACACTAATTGTGATAATAATAGATAAATTAGTTTCGTCTCCAATAAATATTTGGTTTTGGTTGTGAAATGTTACATGTTTTAGTTGTTACACCGGTGGTTGTTGACTGTCTATTATATGCCCTTGTTTCATAGATGGCTGTTGACTGTCTATTATATGCCCTTGTTTCATAGATGGCTGTTGACTGTCTATTATATGCCCTTGTTTCATAGATGGCTGTTGACTGTCTATTATATGCCCTTGTTTCATAGATGGCTGTTGACTGTCTATTATATGCCCTTTTTTCATAGATGGCTGTTCAATGTCTATTATGTGCCCTTGTTTTTTAGATGGCTTTTGAATGTCTATAATATGCCCTTATTACATGAATAGCTGTTGAATGTCCATTATACACCCTTATTACATGGATAGTTGTTGAATGTCCATTATACACCCTTAATACATGGATAGTTGTTGAATGTCCATTAAATACCCTTATTACATGGATAGTTGTTGAATGTCTATAATATGTCCTTATTACATGGATAGTTGTTGAATGTCTATTATATGCCCCTTACTACATGGAAAGTTGTTGAATATCTATTTTATGCCCTGTTAATCTCTTCGCCCTCCCCTAATTAAGTGACAGTAAAGACACATTTAAATATAAAAAACAAAAAACAAAATTATTTAAAAATCCAAGGTCTTTTCGTAACATTACTTGAATAGCAGACTACAGACAACTGTTCCCAGGAAAAGCGGTGCCCACGGCACACTGGTAAGACTATTCCGCCGCCCTCTGATATTGCCGCCGGGTATGATTGGCCCTCTGGCCCCCTACTTTCCACAGCCCTGAGTAGATAGAGGATTGCGGGCCTCAGTGAATTACTTATACTGTGTCCAGAGCCTTCGCTGCAAGCTTAGCCAGCAAGAAATATTTCTAAAAACTATATTTATCAATTATTTTTGTTAAGTTTTCCAAAAACTAAAAATACCCAATCTCGCCTGGCAAAACGTTCACATTACTCATTACATATTCGTAATGCATTTTAATTTGATATTGATTGTATAATTAATTTATATCATTATGTATAGTCGTTGTTGTTCATCAGTCCTAAGTCGACCATGACCGCTTTAACATCAGCTTTGTGCTATAGTTCTGTCTGTGGGTGCGCAGATGGCTAATAATGAGGCCGATTCTGGTACGAAATGTTCCTGTGCTGTAGTTGTAGGGTCATCTCCGGGAGCACAGTAGGATTTTAGAATGCATTGCCCCCCTCCCCCCCCCCTCTTAATTTAGTCTTAAACACTGATTAATGAATGCAGAGTTTAAAGTTATTGAAATTCATACAACCCTAAGGTAAAAAATTTAATTAAATTTAATTCGTACGAAATACAGTGATTATTTCAGCAATTACCCCCGGGTTTGGGGGGGGGGGCTGTGCCAGTTTATTTATTGTTGGACATTTTTTCCTCCGGGGCAGCACTTGGCTTTACCCGGGGGGGGAGGGGCCCCCTCCCCCCCCTCCCCCCCCCTCCTCCGGAGCTATAGCTGAAAGAAACCCTGACCAAATAAAACGGCTAATGGAATGAATGAAAAATGTCCTAGCCTTATTTTTCCATACGACTGACAAGGTTTTGATTGTTACAAAATTCACAACAATTGAAAACAAAGCCAATAAAACAAACCCAAACAACGAATTGGTTAGTAATCTAAATATTTTCTTTTATCATTCATGTCAATTATTTGGTTGGTTGAGGTCAGTGTTCAACAATAGAAGGCTCAAAATCAAAACAAAACATTCTTGTTGCTGAAGAGAACTCCATTGCAATGGCCAATCCTGTTCTTTATTTAGTGGTAGGATGGATGAGTATGATGCTCCAAGAGCTCAAGTGAGCCAGGTCTAAATCAATGGTCCACGTTGACTCGTCTTCTTGTTCGTTTTTTAAAGATGTCATCGAATGACATTTCAGATTAGCTGAGGGATACATGACATTTGGAAGGATGGGCAGCTGTACATGTTGAAGGCTTTTGTTGTCAAGTTCGAATGAGGCTGTGATCCACTTTGACGACAGTTAACAAGTACACACACCAATCACAAGTTGTTCAGCACAGGAATGTGTGATGTGTGTCACTTAAAAGTCTACCTTTGTCCTCTGCTCTAGGCTAGTCTTGGGGTAGCTTGATTCATGGGTAACTTGATTCATGGGTAACTTGATTCATGGGTAACTTGATTCATGGGTAGTTTGATTCATGGGTAGCTTGATTCATGAGTAACTTGATTCATGGGTAACTTGAATCATGAGTAACTTGATTAATGGGTAACTTGATTCATGAGTAACTTGATTTATGGGTAACTTGAATCATGAGTAACTTGATTAATGGGTAACTTGATTCATGGGTAACTGATTCCTGATATAAAACATGACTCATGAGATGAACGTGTGACTGAGAGTCATTGTTGTTGGGCTGGTGGTAATTGTGAGACTCTGGTGGCCATCAGATAGTGCCTTTATTAGCTGTGACCTGGCTTCTTTGTTGCGAACTGTCTGTCTGCTGTTTGTGATCGCCTTGTTGTTACAATGTAAAGTGATCGCCTTGTTGTTACAACGTAAAGTTATTGCCTTGTTACAAAGTAAAGTAATTGCCTTGTTACAATGCAAAGTAATTGCCTTGTTACAATGTATTTGCAAACACCTTCTGGGATGATTGTCTACCATATTTTCCATTTAATGCATATTAGCTGTGTTGCTCACGGTTGAAATGGGTTGAAAGACTTTGCCATTGTATGCTTGTAATTAGTTTTTGTAGTGTTGCGTTTGTTTTAAATGTGGTAAATTATAGATTTTTTACTCTTGTACCGCGCTTCGAGCCTTTGGGGATGAAGCGTGTTTTTGAAATACACTTTATTATTATTATTATTATTACAATGTAAAGTAATTGTCTTGTTACAATGTAAAGTAATTGCTTTGTTACAGTGCAAAGTAATTGCCTTGTTACAATGTAAAGTAATTGCCTTGGTACAATGTAAAGTAATAGCCTTGTTACAATGTAAAGTAATTGCCTTGTTACAATGTAAAGGGATTGCCTTGTTACAATGTAAAGTAATTGCTTTGTTACAGTGCAAAGTAATTGCCTTGTTACAATGTAAAGTAATTGCCTTGGTACAATGTAAAGTAATAGCCTTGTTACAATGCAAAGTAATAGCCTTGTTACAATGTAAAGTGATTGCCTTGGTACAATGTAAAGTAATTGCCTTGTTACAATGTAAAGTAATTGCTTTGTTACAGTGCAAAGTAATTGCCTTGTTACAATGTAAAGTAATTGCCTTGGAACAATGTAAAGTAATAGCCTTGTTACAATGTAAAGTAATTGCCTTGGTACAATGTAAAGTAATAGCCTTGTTACAATGTAAAGTAATTGCCTTGGTACAATGTAAAGGGATTGCCTTGTTGTAACAATGTAAAGTGAAGGTTCGATCCTGAGAGATGATAAATATATTTTTTTTTTGTTTACAATTTTGATGCACCCTAACTTAAGTGTTGGTAAATACATATACATTACCCATGACACGTTTTCTGGTTAGTTATTTCAAGCCTAATTTAAGCACTGTTTGAATTTGTGTTTTAGTGCTTGCCATTGATGGACCAAATAAAGATGCTTTTAATTATTTTTTTTAATTTGGTATACCTTTTATATTAACGAGTTTCAAACAAAGATCTTTTACATTACATCAAAACTTCTCAAGACCAAATGGGAAGAATTGGTTTAAGCAAACTATGTTTAAAAAGTTCTTACTGCGTTTGTTAAAAAAGAATATTTTGAAACTTTTTTGCTCTCAAGCAACATAGGTCAATAGTTGAATGGTTAAACTGTCTCAGAAGACTCTATACATTTTGTACACTGATTTCTTAATCTTAAATATTTTTTTCACGTTCTTTGGGTAGATTTATTACTCCTACTTATATTGAGAGTTGTCTCAAACTTTTAAAGTTGGGCCCAAATGTTCCATTTGTTATTATGTAAAATCAAAACTCAATGTATTTGAAAATTGTAAAATGGTAGTAAGTGGGATAGGCTGAAATCGGGTTAGGTAAAATGAAATGATCAAAACAAAGTATGGGAAAATCTGAAAAAAAGGAGTAAGCAACAATACAATTTATGAGTCGGCAAGAAGCCTTCTTCATAGAAAAAAACAAAGGAAAAAAAAACAATATAAAATTGAATTCTCTCTGATGCGACATTACATCTAAACATTTAGTTTTATATTATATTGTTTTTACTGTTGTTTTTGGTCACTGAAGTAGGCTTCATGTCGACCCATGCCTTTCGTTGTTCTGTTGTTGTGTCCGTTCTTCAAGTTAGCTTTGAACATTGTTGATTGGGTCAACTGTCTTTCAATAGAATCCATTATCTTAAATTCAACCACGCAAGGGCCAGCAGGTACT